GACCATTCACCATCTCCATCTGCACCCTCCTTCATTGATCAGCATTCAGTAGTAGAAAGAAAAGACACCAACTTTGCTGTTTCCTAAAATTGTTGTTTACTGTTGTTTGTTATTATGAGCTTCCATCATCCATTGCTGTCCACACACCACATGTGAATCCTGTTAAGAACATGAAATGGCATATTTGCTCTCTTCTCTTCCTCTCCCCTCTCCAATCAGACTATTCCTGACAAAAGTTGTTTCAACAAAATCCCACAAATGTCAAATGGGTTCTGTGGCCTTTTCACCTCCTTCCTTTTCCCATCTCCACCAACTACCTCCCCTAGATGATCAAGGCATCATGTCATGCCAACACCGTTGGATCGATCGTATTGTTGAACGGTGAAAGCATTATTACAAGGAAAACGAAATTATTCAACCATGCCAGCTCGTATTAATCCTTATTCGTCAACATGACAAACAAACTCCAAGTAAAAGAGGGAAAAAGGGAGCGAAATGTGGCAGCTTCCTTCCGAATGCCCATTTCTATCATTACCAAAATAGTACGGTTGAACCATTTTCAAATAAAACGCGTTTAAAGCGAAAGTGAAGTTTCAAAGAAATTTTAATCATTTTCTCTTTGCCGAAACTAATGAAGCAAAGTTGTTCCTTGCAAGTGTCCCCTTAGCACCGATATGGAATGAAAGCTCCCAAACGAAAGTTGTAAGACTCTTCCCCATTTATGTAATCCTTTGCCACAACTATTGAGGCCAAGAAGTTGTTTATTGGGGGCAAAGTGTCCTATTAGCATGGATTAGGTCAGGTAACCCATATGGGTTTAGGTCACCTAAGTCACCCTTCCATCGAGTTGCTTTCCAAAGGCTAAAAGAAAGAAACAGAGGAGCAAAATGAGGAGGGAAAAGAAAGGGGCAATTGTCCTCTTAGGGCTCCTCTCTCTCTCTCTTTTTCCTCATACATGTTGATTTGCGTAGAAAGCAATCCATGTAGCACGAGGAAAAGGAAAGAGTACATCTAGGAGCTTTGTTTTGGTGATATTATTGTACCATATGTCTTCCATCTTGTATCACATCTTTGAATTTGAGAATTGAGCATTCCTCGATTGATGGCTGCTCTTTCTTTCTTTCTTCCCCTTTTGGTCTAAATTTGTTTCTAAAAAGCTACTTCTCTCTTCGTCCTAAGAGAAGAATCTCAGTTATCCACCAACTGTCATTTATTATATAGTACCGGTTTTAGTTGAAACAATTGGTTAGTCAAATTTAATACAAAGAGATCGACCGGTAATGGAATAGCTTACATGACATAGTACTAGAACTGTGACTTGGCCTTCCCACATGCAAAAATGGTCCCTCTACATTCCCACCATCAATCGAAAGTACAGTGATGAACTTGCAAAATTTCCACCAGAAATGGAAACAAAGCACAAGGGGGAAAAAGAGAGAGGAGAGAATACAGATTGAATTTTTTGTAACAGCGAAATAAAGCAGGTTTGATTTTGTTGTTTGTGGGCTAGAATTATTATTCGAACGTAGTGTGTTTTCAATTTTCATACCGTGGATTTATACGTCGACCAATTGTTTATACAACTTACTTATTCGAGTATTTATATAATGTGGTTAGCATATGTACATAAAAGATTCAAAGTATTTGGTGTAAATAATAGAACAGTGTTATGTGAATATCATAACTTTATCTCGAACAACATTTAAAAGCTATCAATATCGATCTTTTTAGATTGGAAAATTTAATCAAAACAAGGTTTGTTTACAAAATTTTTTTTAAAAAAAACAATGTTTACTAACTGTAAAATGAAATAAAAAAAATGGATACAAAAATGTCATTAGATTTTGGGTGTTATCTCCCTATCAAAATTTCATCAACCATGGATCAGTTAGGAAAAAAATGTTTTTGTAACAGTCACATCCCAAGAGGAAACTATAATTTCAAATGGTTACCATGGTTATTACCAAATTAAATAAGGCTAAATTTCATTAACCATGGAATACAATATTATAACCAAACCGTCTTAACTAATACAACAACCGAATTAACCAAACTAAAATTTAATCAGTTTGGTTAATTGGTTAACCAAATTAACCAATATAAAATCACATTATCATTAAGTGAGAAAAAATTCGGTTAATATCGATTTACAATTTATATAATAAATAAAACATAACAATCAACACATAGTTATAGTTGACCCTTAACATAAATACATGTAACTAAGACAATTATCTTACGGTTAGTATAGAAGTATTCACCTAACAAAAATTTATCACAATGGTATGGGTTAATGAATTGTTGTGTTTGTTTGAATTGACTTAGCCTTTTAGCAATTTTCATAGGTTGAAAAGGACCTTGCTTTCAAGTTTTCATCCAACATAATGTATGTGATTTATCTAAATTAGGCGTTCATATGTTGTGGTCTACACTCTACATATACAAATATACATTATAGGAACAATATAAAGCTTTATATTTTATGAGTCTAAACGGGATGAACGTTTAACTCTTGAGTGGTTATTCAAAGTATTAAGTATGTGTTTATATTATATATATGGCTAATTATTTATCTGGTTAATTTGGTTTGGCTGGTTAGGAGTGTCTGAAACCAATCCAAACCACCTAAACCAAACAAGCTAAAAAATTTAATCAAACCAAACTAATTATCCAAATTAACCAAACCAAATTATCCAAATAGTAATGGTTAAAACGGTTACCATGGTAACCACACGTTTGAACACCCCTAACTAGCTATAAGGCCTCACAGGATTCAAATCACTAACAAACCAAGCTCATAACTATTAAGTTCCCTAACCTAAAGACTCCAATCTTCGAGTAAGAACTCCAACATGTTCATTCCCATTATAAGTAACCTCATTCAAACTTTGAAAAAAGATAGAAGAACAATCTATCATCTCCAAATTTTAGACTTACCTCGTATGATTAAACATCGACCACACATTTACATCCTAGTAAACCTTCCAGATCTTTATGAAGCAACCCTTTCTTATTATTGTCCTAACCCTATGGACCATGAAGAACTAAACAACTAACCCACCTATGGACTATGACCATTTTATAGTCTTAGAAATTCTCTCGTACAAATTGGTTCAGTTTTGGTACTCGTGGTTCTTCATTTCTGGTTGGAGATGCATGTTCTTGTTGGCCAAACCCACGTCGAGATGTTTGTGGAGAAGAAGGACAAACCAATGGCACCATAATAATTTCTTATTAATAATTTTTTTTTTGTGGGAAGCACTATTCATAGTAAAAAGAACAAATTATCCTTTTGGACAGAATACGAAAATTTCGGAAGATATTGGGATGAATAGACCCATCACTTCCATCAGCTAAACTTCAAAACAAATTTGGCTTTCACTATCACAGAAAATAACAATAATAGTTATGAAAGACTAATTTCCGTACCTAATCAATTACAACACACAAAAATTAAAAAGGCAAGGGTGTTTGCGGTTTCATGGACACACTGTCCATTGATTCCCTCTGTTTCTTTTGGCATTCTTCAATTGCTCCAAATCCCCATTTTATTGTTTTATTAATATTAATATTAATATTAGTATTAGTTAATATTAATATTTTGGTTGATATTATAATTGTTTTTAGTCAGTCAAACTGGTGAAGATACTAATAATACATGCTGACTTATGACATATACATGAATCCTAGTTTGACAATTATATTCTCTTCTTTGAATTGTGAAAACCTGGCCCAATTTGGTTGTCATAATTACTTATAAATGCAAACTCTTTCAAAAGTTATTGCCTTTTTGGCGAAAATGAAATAAATATAAACAAAAAAATACGTAAAAAAGTTATTAGAACGAATCATTACCAATTAACACTTGGAAGAGTGACTTAAATTGGCAATTCGTTCAACTTATGACATCATCAGAACATGATCAGATTAACGCGCATTCCAATCGATTTTATAATCAGAATCGACAAGTAACATAATCGCGATCGACAATTCAAGTTATCCAGCTCAAACAACAAACTCCCGCGCCAACCGACTGAATCGACACCACCATCTTGTAATCATTGCCATAAGCCTGTGTTTTTACTTTGAAAGGTGCTTGTCATGAGTCATAACACAACCTCACCAACAAGAGTGAACTTATCTTCTCTTCTCAGTAGTCCTTCTCCTTCATGGGCAAGGTGATGATAACTTGGCAACTAATCCAGAAGTGGAAAGGGCAAAGTAAGGTACTGCGAGACTGGAGAGGAACCAAATTGTACCAGTAGTCTAGTACAGCTTCATTCATACAAGGGAAGCAGCAGACGGGTAAAAAAAAAGGAGGGAAACAAACAAAGCCTTCCATTTTTTTTTTTTTACCGCGAACCAGAAAGAGAGGGACAGGAACGGAGTGCTGTGAGTAATAATAAATGGTGGTGGTTAAAGTAAATGAAAAGCACCCAATTTGGGGCAGAGGAACTGGCAATTTGGGGTTTCTTCATTCTCAATGTTTTTGAAATTCTACCGAATTCGAAAAATAGACAGGTTGAGTGATGAAAAACAGTTTAACTCTTATTAAACTACAGTTTTATTACAGAATATTCGTACAATAATTTTTTTCGATATAACTTCTGGTACGATTTGAGATAATTATGACTTGGGGAGGAAGAGTCATCTTTCATAGGATGGTCAAGCTGCAAGGATGATGAGGTAAGGAGAGAGAGCAGTTAAGAGCCCAGCCAAATTGGGTTTCAGAGATGTCACATGGATTGAGTTTTGGATTTTACTGGCAATGGGTTAGAAGCTGGAGCTCTGGAGAGAGAAGAGAGAAGAAGAAAGCAGTAATTTTTAGTAAAGTAGTATGGGAGTTAGAAAATCTCATATAATTAGAATTTTTTTGAAAAAAATAGTGGGGAGGGAGAGTAAGCAGTAAGTAGCCTAGTTCTGGCAGCAGCAGCAGCAGTAGTGGTGGGTACTAATAAATAACACTAAAACCATCAAAGCTTTCTTTGCCATTGCTTCTCCCTCTGGAAACAAAGAAAGGAAGAAAATTGAGAATTGGGTTAGTGAGAGAGAGAAGGAAGAAGAAGCAAAAGCCCTTTCCTTTCTCTCTTTTGTTTTTGTTGGTTTTCTGCAGCAGCATTATCATCATCATCATCATCAATCCCATTCCATCCCACAACACCATTAAACCACACTCAGCCTCTCTCTCTCTCTGTCATCACACTCTTGCTCACTCCTCTCTCTCTCTCTCTCTCTCTCTTCCTTCACTCTGCTTCTTCCATACTCTGTCTGCTTCTCTTTTCTTTCTTTAACCCTGAAATAGAGGAAGCAAGAGAAGAAGGTTTTTAATGTGCACCCACCTCTCTGCTCCACCTTCTTCTTCCTCTCTCCCCTTCTTCCTCCTCCTTCCTGTTCTTCTTGTGCATTCTGACTGACTCCCTTCCACCATCCTTAACTCTCTCCCTCTCTCCTCATTTTGCTCTCTGGGTCCTTGTTTCCATTGCTATACACAATCACATAACAGAGCCAGTTGACAGAGCACATCACCAGGCAAACCCACCATTCTGAAGCTTTGGTTCTAGTTCCTTTTTCAATCCCTTTTTTCTTCTGTCAAACAGATCTAATTTTACCCATAACGCGCACCCCATTTACCCATACCCATAACTGGAAGCTTCTTTCTGAGACAACACAACAACTGGGGAGCTATGAGTAAAGAAGAGTTCTTAAAGATCCAGGTAACGACACTCTTCTCTTTTTTATTTTTGTTTGTGCTAGCTTTTGCAGCTTCCCGAAGCTTACTTTGCTTCATTTGAACTCAAAGCTTACATCTTTACACTACTCTGTTTTCGTCCCCCCTTTTTCTTCCTTCCCTCATTTGTCTGTTCTGAGAGAAGGGTTGTTATCTGTCTCTTTTTCACTCTGTAATTTTGTTTCTTCCTTTCGCCAACATGCAGACCTGCGTTCTCAAAGTTAACATACACTGCGATGGCTGCAAGCACAAGGTCAAGAAAATCTTGCAGAAGATTGATGGTAAAAAGGGGGAAAAAGAAAACCCAATCCCACCTTCCAACTTTCATGAGATCTGCTCTGTTTTCTTCTGGACTCTGTTTTACTCTGTTTTTTTTTTTCCAGCTTAATCTTTACATCCTTATCTCTGACTGATTTTTACCTTGTGAATTGGGTTTTTTTCTTTTTTACTAGGGGTGTTCAAAACCCATATAGATTCAGAGCAGGGGAAAGTGACGGTTTCAGGAAACGTCGACCCTGCCGTCCTGATCAAGAAGCTCAACAAAGCAGGGAAACATGCTGAGCTCTGGGGCGCCCAAAAGCCCAACGGCAACAATAACAACAATCACAATCTCAATCAACTGGCCAATCAATTGAAGAACATGCAAATTGAGCACGGCAAAGGCGGCGGCCAGAATAACGGCAAAGGCGGTGCTGGCGGCGGCGGCGGCGCCCAGAAAGGCGGTGGGGGACACCCTGCTAGTCATAACAATAACCCCCAGAATCAGTTCAAAGGAGGCGGTGGTGGACATCAGCTGAACCCACAGCAGCTACAGCAGATGCAACAAATCCAGCAGATGCAGCAACTGCAGCAGATGAAGGGGTTACAAGATCTGAAACTTCCCCAAGGCATGAAAATGCCGCAGCAGCCGAATCAGCCGCAGAAGATGCCTCCCCACCTTCAGCAGCAGAATCAGAAGTCGGTCAAGTTCGCCGCCGCTGAAGATGACGAGTTCAGTGACGATGATTACGACGACGACGAATTTGACGACGAGGATGATTACGATGATGACGAATTTGATGACGAGATGGACGCCGCTCCTCCCAGTAAGCCCAAGCCGATGATGGGAAATGGTCACCCCGGCATGATGATGAACGCCGCCGGCGGTGGAATGCTTCCGCCTCATATAGCTGCCGCTGCTGCCGCCGCAAAGAAAGGCGGCGCTGGCGGTGGAGACGGTCCAGGTCCCGTTCATTTCAACAACGGTGGTGGAAAGAAAGGCGGTGGCGGTGTAGGAAATCCGAGTCATATTCCGAATCAAAACGGTAAAGGTGGCGGCGGCGGCGGCGGTAAGCCACAAGACGGTAAAAATGGCGGCCACGGTGGAGGTGGCGGTGGAAAGAACGGTCACAACGGCAATAATGGCGGTGGCGGCAACGGTAATAACATGAACATGGCCGGGGGCAAGAAGGGAAATAACGGTGGCGGTGGTGGAGCGAGCAGTAATGAAGGCTTCAGGAGCGTGGGTGGACCCCACGGCGGCATGGGTATGGGCCCAATGGGCGGAGGAATGAACGGCATGCCGATGGGCCATCATCAAGCTCCAATGGGCCAAATGCCCAATAACATGGCGGCGGCGGCAGCGGTCCAAGGCCTACCGATGAACGGCGGGGGTGGAGGCGGCGGCCCCCCGGTCGGTTACTTCCCCGGATCCGGCCCGGATGGAATGCCCGGAAACCCATCTCTCCAGCAACAGCAGTACATGGCGGCGATGATGAACCAGCAAAGAGCAGCCGCGGCAATAGCTGCCGGCGGCGGCGGCGGCGACCAGAGGTTCCAGCCGATGATGTACGCCAGACCCCCACCGGCGGTGAACTACATGCCTCCGTACCCGTACCCATACCCGCATCCCCACGCTACCGACCCGTATACGAATTACTTCAGCGACGAGAACACCTCGAGTTGCAACGTCATGTGAGGACGAAAACAAGCCCCGGGTCGGGTCCGGATTGTTGAGCTGCCCGCCGGGCGTTTAGCTTGCTTAGCTTTTGTTGCGGTGGAGGAAAATTGGGGGAGTTTGATATACGACAAACAACATCGAAATGGGTCTTCTTTCTTTCTTCTTAATTTAAATTTTCATCCAATGTTTATTTTTAGTTTATTTTTCAACTTTGATATATTTATTTTGGTTTTTTTTTTTTCCTTTTGAATGAAGGGAGTCCAAATTAAGGTGAACTTAGGGAGTGGGAGGGAAGGAGGGAAGGATTAGTAGTGGTAGTATTAGTAAGTGGGGGGACTCTCTTTCTTTTTTGTTATGGAGGATGATAATGATGTTTATATGTGTTTATATGTTGCAAAACCAAAAATAAAGATTTAAACACCTAAACAAAGGGAAATCAGAGAATGTGGGTTTTGAAAGCAAGAAAGATAGGAAAGACAAACCCCACACTCTATTCTTCTCTTTTGCCTTATTTCTCTCCTTGATTTGCTCTTTTCTTTGCCTTCTTGCTTTTCTCTTTATGCTTTAGCCTGATGGGAAACAATCAAAGCAAGGAAACTTCAGATTTGGGGTTTTGCCAATCTAACGAGAGCTCGAACTCAACTCGGTGCGCGATTACAAGGTCGTTGTCATAGTGCACTAGTCTAGAAGGTTGTTATAATTCAGTTCAGTTCAATTTTGCTAGTTTGTGGATTCATCATTTTCAAGATAATCTATTATTACATGATGAATTTGTTTCGGTTGAAATAATTATGTGACAAATCATGTAATCGAAATATTTTGACAATCCACAATGAAATGAATGAAAGAGGCCCTAATTAATTGGTTGGGATGTGGGTATGATGACACGCGCTGTGGAGGTGGGACCCAAAGTTCAGAATGGTAATTAAATGGAGTGGGAAGGGAAGGAAGAGAATTGGAGGGAGGACCCACTAAAAATGACCACTAGTAGAATTATTAATAAAAAATTAAATAATAAAAATGGGGAAGGGAAGGTGGGGTTGGGGTTGGGGAGGGTGCATAATAATTGGGGGTTTTAGCAATTTGCCAGAGCCTTCACATGCCTTCCCCCTCACTTTCTTCCATTGAAACACCCAATTTGCCCTTGGTAGTTCCCACAAATCTACAGAAATGCCCCTCGTATACAAGTTATCTTGCAACGCCATACGCCAAGTTACAAATAGAAAGGGCTGGTAATTAAACAAGCTAGTAAAAAAAAAAAATTATTTACCTAAAAATTATAAATCAGTTCCTCGTTCAACCAAAAAAAAAAGATCCTTCATAAGTTAATTTTCAAAGAATGAATCTTCCTACTATGACTTGGCAAGCCACATGTTACTATTTCCGCCTACTCGCCCGATACGTGGCAAAAAAAAAAAAGATGTCGAGTCTCACTAACCTACCAACATGGAAAGTCCAATTTAGTTGTTTGATGATACCTTTACGAGAAATCGACATAAAAGTCTTCCCAATGCAAACTTGCGAAATTTAGACTCTTCTAAAATCGAGTCGGTGCTGATGCAATGCCTTGTCTGTTATATTGCGGTCGAGTTAGCGTTACACAAGGACACACACTAGTAGGGGTGTTCAAATGGTTACCATGGTTATAACCAACCCAAATAAGGCTAAATTCCATTAACCATGGAATACAATATCATAACCAAACCGTCCAAACTAATACAACAACCGAATTAACCAAACTAAAGTTTAATCGGTTTGGTTAATTGGTTAACCAGATTAACCAATATAAAATCACATTATCATTGACGATGAAAATTTTCTGGTTAATGCAGCGATTCGCAATTTATATAATGAATAAAACATAACAATCAACACGTAGTTATAGTTGACCCTTAACAAAAATACATGCAACTAAGACAATTATCTTACGATTAGTATAGAAGTATTCACCTAACAAAAATTTATGACAATGGTATGGGTTAGTGAATTGTTGTGTTTGTGTAAATTGACTTAGTCTCTTTGCAATTATCATAGGCTGAAAATGACCTTCCTTTCAAGTTTTCATCCATCATAATGTATGAAATTTATCTAAATTAGGCGTCCATATGTTGTGGTCTACATTTTACATATACAAATATACACTATATGAGCAATATTGAGCTTTATACTTTATGAGTCTAAAAGGGATGAACGTTAACTCTTGAGTGGTTATGCAAAGTATTAAGTATGTGTATATAATATATGTTAGATATATGACTAATTACTTAACTAGTTAGTTTGGTTTGACTGGTTAGGAGTGTCTGAAACCAAACCAAACCACCTAAACCAAACAAGCTAAAAACTTTAACCAAACCGAACCAATTATCTAAATTAACCAAACCAAATTATCCAAATAGTACTGGTTAAAACGGTTACCATGGTAACCAAACCGTTTGAACACCCCTACACACTAGAGGGGCACATCCGTTCAAGGGGGGAAAATATTTTATACGAGCTTTTTGTGTTATTTTTGCATAGTACGAGGACTCATTTAGCTATAAACCCCGGAAATGGAGCAATGTTGTCGACAAGGACAAGCTTAGGTAACCACTTCCTTTTTGCACAATAGTCACATACTTACCATACCATGTGGGTGATGGAAGTAGGAAGAAAATCTAACGGCGTTGACACTTGACAACAACGAGCTGATGCCCTTCTCTTGCAGGCTTGCTTGCCTTTTTTCTTTCTCCTTTCCTTTCTTTCTTTGCTGCTGTTGTTTACTGCTCGTGAATAGTCTTGTCAAATTAGACATTGGGGGCATTGCTTTGTTTTTTGCTCGGTTTCTTGCAGAGATGCATTCATCCTCTTTCAGTCTTCAAAGAACACATCAAAACCGCCATACCCACCACCAGAAGACGACTAGTGTTTTTCCTTCGTCTGATGATACTGTCTACTGGGAGGGATGATGCGTTGTTGGGTTTTGATTGGATTAAGGAGAGTGATGATGATCATGGGATGGGAGGAAAGGAAAGGAAAGGAAAGGAAAGGGCATCATCCTCTGTTTCTCGCCATAACTGCAACTCTGTGTCTAATCAAAGAAGTGGGTAAGTAAGGACAGTGATGGACGGATGGATGATGGGTTGTAGGGTACAAGCAAGAAAGGGTACCCTACATCCCCTTTCCTCTCCTGATTTGTTTCAGACTTTCAGTACGTACTTTTTTCTCTCATGAAGGACTTGTCCGTTCTTTCATTCAATTCATTTATATATGTGGCAGTGAAATGGTAATCTTCAACTTCTGTATTGACTACATGGCTACATGGTCATTTTTCACAGATGATAGAAAATCGTAGAGTTGGAAACCTTATTATCTAGTGAAATGGTGTTTTTAGGGGTTGTTTGGAGTTTGAGATTCTCCAAATTGACGCATTCGATCAATTTGTGTATTGTGATCAAATGTATTGATAAGATGTATCAATTTGAAATATACGTTGGTTGGAGATTTATATCGTGTTTTGTTATAAACAAAAAAAATAGAGGATAGACAATCCGTTGTCACTCATTTTGAGTGAGTGATTGTTGGTGGGCCTAGGAAAAGGTAATACATGTATCATGTCACAAATTTAATCAAAAAATGATTTTATCTTGACATTACATGCATTGTCTAAATGCATCGCTTGAAATTACAACCTTCAAGCAACGACCCGTGAGTTTTCCGAAGTTGGAACAAGTGATGTCAATATGACCTATAACTTTGTGGAGGCTTTACAAACAAGTGTATGTGATCAAGTACTCAGCTGGCCTACCTAGCTATACCAAATCCAAGGATTGAAAAAGCTGACCAAATCACTCTACAACTTGAAAGAATCAAATACCGCAATCATTGGATTTACGTTCAAACAATCTTCTTTTTTTTTGTTACTCATTGCTGCTTCTGTGAAAATTGTGATCAATAATCGTGTTTGCCTGAATCATTAATAGGAAATGTTAAATGCCAATTTTACCCTCATTTGAGAGCACCATCTACTCTCCTTGACATGATTGTTGTGCCAATGAAATGTCTGTTGGTTGAATATGGTTATATATTGGTGTTACAATGAAACTGACAGGAATACAATTGCTATGATCGATTTCCGACCTTTAAACAAAATGTCATCGTTTCAGTGAATTTAATCTTAACAAAAATAATGGGTGATTTATTTTATTTCATAAATTTTGAAAGTTAAATGCTGATATTATTTGTCGGGGTCAAGTATATACGTTTTGTGTGTTGACGTTAAATGTTGCATTTAAATATGAGTATCTAAACTTTTCTTTGAAATATTGTATTTTGTTTTAATATATAAATATAGATTGTTTTCAAATATAATTTATATATGTTTAAATTTTACATTTTTACTTAAGAACCACTTGCTAATCTGGATTCTACCCGTACTATGTACTGCTTGCTTTACTGTGTTGAGGAATGTAACGCTCGCACGCGGGATCGCAGTTTGTCACTCCAACCCCTCAAAGTTGTATATATATTCAATTACACCCCCAAACAAAAAGCCCAATTAATGCGCGAGGCCAAAGAAAGATAGAAAAAGGAAAGAAGCGGAGCTCGAGATCCAAAGCCATTTGCCGCTGTTTGGTCACGAGAACAGCGCTATGCATCCATTCTTGTTCTTGTTCTTGATAATACTTATTATTCTCTTCAAACTGGGATTGGGCAACATTCTTAGCCTGTGAATGACGGATGGATGGGAATGAAGCAAGGGATTGGAATTGGAATGGTATAAATGAATGGAGGCAGCAGTTGAGGACTCGCATGGAGAATGCCACAGTGAGGGGGATTTTTTTTTTGTTTTCATGTAAGAATGGGATAGAGGCATAGAGCTAGTCCAAGTGTTGGGAGACATGACTCTATGGGCCGTCGTTTTTCTGGAGATTTTCTTTCTTACCCTGTTTCAAAATGTTTTTGTTTTTGTTTTTTGTGACCTTCAGAATAAAATAAAAAATTAGTGGTATTAATGTATTATAATTAGCCAAATTCGTGTTCGCCTAAAACACCGATAACTCTGTTTACCATGTTTCGGTATCCGATATCTATAGAGGCAACGTTATCAGGAGGGAGGAAGATCAATTCATCATTCAAGTGTCAACCATTGGGCTCCACAACCTCCAAATCGGGTGCTTTGCCACCAGATCCCAATTCGCTAAAACATACAATGAAATTTATGTAAATTCAATCGACAATAGATAATATTAACTTCAAGTCATATCAACAACTACATTAAATAAATACACAATTACCATTTTGCCTTTTGACCTCTATGTGTTGTTTATGAAATCTCAAAGACCCTTTTTATTTTTATTTGGATAACATGAAAAACAGTATTTTTTAGAGCCGTCTAATGAATCGTGGAGATTTTGTTCATAAATTGAAATGTACTTTAAATTTATTTTAAGTATAATGAAATTTAAATAATTTATATCATCATTAATTGAAATATTTCTAACGATGTATGAAATAAATTATTGATTATCTCTCTAATTATTTGTATTCTCCGTGAAATTATTTTCAATTGATATCATATCTATCCCATTAAATCTTTTTATTAATTTCTACTGCAAGTAGGATTTTTTTCGTAACACAAATCATAATGCTGGTGGAGAGGTTTGAATGCGATGTTACTGTAGGTT